TTATTGAGATATGGGCGATTTTATGATGCACGAATTTTTATTTAAGTTTGTGTAAAGGATTTACGGAAAGAGTTTTTTGCAATTCATTTTCTGATTTTGAAGAGCAGAACAATATATAAAGTATTATGCTGAGTTTAAAGGGTTTAAGACAAGATTGGGCCAGAATACTATTATTGAAGCAGAAAGTGGAGAACAAATCATATGAAAACGAACAATTCTCTGTCATCATGCTGGTTGATATCAATCAAAGAATTTTACAAAATCAAGGAAGACAGTTAAAATAGAGTATCAATGGCATGTTAATCTCTCACAACTGTTAAAGCAGAATTTGAATAACCACATCTATATAACAATATTAAATGATGAATATAATCATAATATATGTCCAGAGGTTCTTCAATTCGAAAGAGATAAGGTGTTTACAAAAGAAATGTAAAATGATGTTGAGTTTTATATGAAACATTGTTATTTTGGTATGATCTTAATTAGGCAAGTTCTTAAACAAAAGTATTCTTCTCACTTTATCTTTTCTAGGGACCTATATAAGGAGATTCAAAAATGCAAACCATTAGTACAATTTAACAAGGGTGATGCAACAAGGTTTTATGAAGAGTTACTTAGCAAACAGTGTAAAGATCCCCAATAGTTTGTGGAAGTAGCCTGGGAAATTAAAACAAATATCTTAACCAGACTTTTTTGGATGAGTTCTGACCAAATAATTTTGTATTATAAGTTCAGTAAATCAATCAGTCACGACAATATATCTGAAACAAATCGCTATCACATGCTGTTGTCTTTTTTTGTTGTTCATTATAACAATATGAAGTCTCAAGTAATTGCACAAGCTCTTCTAAGTAACGAGACTATAAAATCATATCAATAGACGCTACGTATGATAAAGAAAGCAACAAGTAGATATATGCCTGGTGTAATTTTTACTGACGGTAACCCTGCTATGTATAGAGTGATCTTAATCAAACTTCCAACTACTTGTCATATTTTCTGTATATAGTATATCAAAAAGAAACTTAAAAAGGTGCTACATACAAAATTAGATGCAGAATTTGATACTTTTTACTCTGCATTCTGAAAATATCAGAATAGCGATACTCCTAAAAGCTTTAAATATTATTGGGAAGAAATGGTTAGTAAATATCTATTGGCAAAGCAATATCTAGAAAAATATTTATACAAACAACGTAAGTCTTGAGCACAGAGTTTATAGCAACTTTGTTTACTTTTAGAATTGAGACAATTTCCTTTGTCGAGAGTTAAAATGCATGTATTAAGCATGTTCTTGAAAATAGTAACACTTCTTTTTGCAAAATTAGCAAAGTTCTTATAGACCAAGCTGAAAACAGAGTAAACAAAAAGAAGTATGAAGATTTAGTTAGGAGAGTTCCTTTAGCTACCAATAATGTAACGATTTTTCTAAAGATAAAAAAAAATATTACACATTACTTGTGTCCAAATATTGTACAATACTTGGTTAGTCAAATGAAAGAGTGTATTTATTATACAGCATTCTGTTCAAACATTGAAGAAGTTGAGAATACATCAGCAAGTGAACTATCTGGAAATGAATTTTTTGAAAATGAGCTAGACAATATTCTTGTATATGCATGATTTCTTTTAGATCAACAGGATAAAGCTAATATTGAGAAAGTTTGGAAATTTTCTAAATTACCAAGCACAATATAAATCATGTAATCTTTTGCTTAGTTGATAGATTCTATAGCTGTATCTGCCTATTACGGCAAAAATTAGGGCTAGTATATCATCATTACTTTCATCTTCTAAATATCACAAAGACAGCACATTTTAGCATGAGATTAATTAATATTCGATGAATTCTAAGAAAATATCACAATGATGTATTAAAGGAGTATGATTGTTTTGGGCAATGATTTATGGATAATAATCAAATAAATCATAGTAACAGATATTTTGAATTGCCTTAGTCATTTATTAGTGAGAATTATCAGGAATATGTAAATGATGATTTGGTAGACCAACAATTGTTTTACGAGAAGGTTTGGGGTTTAATTTGTATTGCCACTAACAAATGCTTTTTATATAATGATTATGGATTTGTTCAGATAATTAAAATTATTTGGATGATATATGCAAACGTAAAGAAGAACTTAACAAAATACATCAAGTAGATATGAGTGAAAAAAATGAAGATCTTAACAAAGAAAATATATGTCTGAATGTTCAGTTTAAAAATCTTATAGTAGTTACTACCAAAGGTAGACCAAAATCAGCTAGTCATAAGAATAATACAAACCAATAGCCAACAAATAAGAATAAGCAAAGGCATAGTCTGAATCTTTGTAGTTACTATAAAGAATCAGATCATAATATCGTAAGATGCTCTAAAAGGATTATGGATCAGGTGAACTAATATATAGCTAATTGTGACAAGACAAATTAATTAGCATATTAGTTAAAATTCATTGTTTTGTTCATTTTACTGCATTATTCATAGTTTCATTTTGCTTTCTTGAAAGCTTGGTCAACTAGAAATATGGCAACTATTACTACTTATGCTATAATTAGATGAAGTTTATTATAACAGCACAAGTAGTAATAGTTTTACCAATTTTTATGATTGTACTATATATAATTGTTGTCTATGATACGTATTTAAAATTATAATACTATAATATTAACTTCCTTTAAAAAGCTAGACAGGTTCGTTATAAATTTAGATTGATATAATACCTAGTGGTAGTATAAATTGAAAACAAAATTTACCGTTATCCCTTAAACTGTAGGCTTTTCCAGGCAAATTTGCCTGGAAAATTATCATAAATATAGTTATGATCTACTTTT